ATAGCTGGCAGAGTCTATGAAGACCATTAGCACCAATCTGCGTGATGCCTCGTTCGCTTATTACTGCCACTCTAAACACTACAGGGAAGCTGCAGCGTGAAGGCGTTGACAAGTGAAGTCAATCTCTAGAGTCGGCAAGCACTTATTAGGACTAATAGTTTGCTCATTAGTGTCCATACCTTGACGTATTATCACCGACTTGTTATATACTAAATACAAGCTCAATTACCATGCCAAGGCCGCACCAGAGGGTTCCCTCCCCCAGTCGCACAACTATCTATGCTCACTATTATGCCAACCTGAAAATAATTGGTATAATTGGCTTTCGTATGGCACAAGATTTTTTTTTTTTATAGTGCCCCGAGTAGAACTGAAGTCCCAATCGTATGAACATTCAGATTTTCATGCAGGGAACAAACTTGCAGCAGCCTGTAAAGCAGTAGTAGGTACTGGTACACAAGAATATCACAACTGCTCTTTCAAATACAATGCTTTATTTTAACTGGAAGCTGCAACCTTTCACAGTACAAAAGTAAAGCATTTTGCATACAGTAACCCATTGTACGTGTTCTTGTTTAATACAGCCCTAGTCACCTTCATCTTTATGAAAACAGACTTCTCCCAAAGAGCAATTATCCCTACATTATTGCTTAATCATGGTGTCTACCAAACTATTACATGTCAAATTCGCAGACTTTTCTAGGTTTTCTTTTACATGTGAAACTTCAGAACTAGCTACACTTGTAGTTCCGTGCGGCAGGAGGGACGCACATGCCAAGAAAGGCTGACGCCAAAACCATATGGCTGTTTCCCTCTAAACAAAATGCTACATAGATGGCTCTGTTAAGTCAGTGATCATTTTCTCAGATTTAGCTAAGTTTTTCATGATTTCCCTGACTTTTTCAGAAGCTCAAAAGTTCCTTTGCAATTATAGCTTTTTTAGGTTGGTAGACACCCTGCTAATGTCAGTAGGTATGCTTGATTTAGCTGCACCCACCTGCATGGTGCAGAAAGTGTACAGTGCAGGGCAATGTAATTACGGTATGCATTGTCCAGGATTAAAGGCATTTCACATAATGGAACAAGGACAGACACCACAAGTGGTTCTGTCCTCGTCCTTTTGTTACAATATTTCGATCCTGGAGACCAAACACAACAAGCCCCTAAAGAGTCCTCAAGATAGTCTGCACCAACAAGTAGGATACAGTGATGTACATACACTGAGAGTACCAGTGCAGGTGGTGTAGGCAAATCAAACATACCTACTAACATGACATGATGGTTACTCCTTTTCATAATAGTTGGGCAAAAGGCTGGCAAATAACCTGTTGCCTGACCGCATGACAACAAATTTTGACAAGACATTGTCTGCTGAGACAATCCTCACATTCTGCTTAGAATAATACTCATTTACATGGGTCACATGAAGCGTTCTTGACGAGACATACTCTTCAAGAAGTAGCACACAACGGTGAACACCATTTTCCTTGTATACACAGATTTTCAATATTTCTCCACACAACCCGTTTTTCAATTGTACAAAGGAATTATTGCGACGCTTGCATTTACCATATTCTTTAGAGTGCAACAACTCACCTCCTGCAATCACCCTTTTATACACAGTACAGACACTGCCAGGTAAAACAACAGAGCTACCAAAAAAATTGTGGCTACTTCCATGTTTTAAGCCTTTGCCAATAAGGTGGCATTTCTCCACCTCATTTGTATGCACTAAGCGCTTTGACCCAAGCAAGCCCTCACAAAACTCTTGCACTGTTTGTTGCCTGATGTAGCATTTAACGAAGTAGTACACAGAGCGGTACAAAAGATAGCTCTTGGCTACTTGCAGAGGTACTTTTCGTGTCCCTTTTGCTAATTTTAAAAGAAAGCCGTTTGCAGATTCATATGCAAAAGCAGAATGGGCCCATAACGGGCCCCACTCTTTTACGCTTTTCGGCAGATGAGTGAGAAGATGGACGTTATATGTCATTGACGTTTTCGTGTACAACTCTTGCATCCCACAAACAAACTCGGTCAACATAAGGTCGGCATTATTCACATCTGTATGCGTCACAGAGTCCTTGAGCAGAGCATACACACTCTGTGAAAGCAAAGCAAAATGTTTAAGATATTTTCTTGGAAGAATGCCATCCAGGCAAGGAAAAGCATAGTACAACAACCAGCATTTCCACTCCGACGCCTTCCAGAACCGTCGCTCAGAAATGGGCCTTGGCAGTCGAGAAACAGTTTTGGGGGGAAACATCCTTTCTAATCTCTTGTTAATTTTAGCTACAGTCGAGGGCTCTCCAATATAAAACTTTTCACCAACAGACGAGAACCATAGCTCTGCTAGTTGCCGTACCACCCCAAGAAGGACAGCATGCATGTAGTCTGGTACGAACCCAGATACTATCCCAAACTTTGGCATGTTTATCAATGCAGACGGGCCCTTGACACCAAAAATGGTTGTCTTCGTTACAAATGCTTGTTCCATTTCCTTTTCCATTGTCTCATTAGTCCTGTCGGGGTAGCATTCTGGGCCTACAGGGTACTTGACAACATTACCTACGTTCTCACCAGGGTGATAACACCACCCACAAGAATAATAGCCATTGAACTGCATTAACTTTTGCATCGCAGGACGAGCAACGCTGTCTACGCAGCAACAGGTTGCAACGAATTTACTATTAATAAGGGTACCATCAACGTGCTTCCATGTAACTCCTATTGTAGCCAGATGCTTTGCATCATCGACAAACGACTTCAGAAACATATCCATGTTTGGTTCCCCCTTACCATACCACAAGCCTGCCAGCAGCAAATTCTTTTCCCTGGACACTGGTGGTAGTTCATTTAGCATGATATGAATAGGCCACACAGAGGCACGGGAAGATTTGAACACTGGAGCTCCATCAGTGTTAAAAGAAAATGAAAAATTGTTACAGAAAGACAAGAGGCCACCAGGTTTGGAAAGTTCCTGATACAGAGTGCCATCAAAGATGTCTTCAAGACAGGATATATTTTTGTGTTTCTTTTCATTCCTGTATTGAAGTTCCTGGACCAACCCTGGTTGATTTTCCAACATGAACTTTAGTTGTGGTGCAAGGGGTAACATGAGAAAGTAGGGTGAAGTTGTCACTGAAAATTTCTGGTGGCAATGTGGACATGTTGACTGTTGCAAACGTAGCTGCTCTCGGATGCCAACATATCCTAGACAATACTCACAGTACATGTGATACTGCATCATGAGGGAAGGACTGGAAAATGCTTTGTTGAACAGGTACTTTGTACTAGGCAGGATGTCCTTCTGGAACACGACATTGAAGAGCTGTAGGATGTCAACCAAGGCTGACACAGTAGGCCGGTGCTTTGCAAGAAATGACAGCAGAAGAACAAGCACTTCCGCTACGGTCGTTGTTGTACATTTGCAAATTTGAGTAGTCAAGTCAAAACCCTTGACGCTGAATGCTGATGGTGCATCAGAAACATGTTCAGTAGGAGAGCCAGGCTGCTCTCCTTCGCTCTGAATGTCCTTCTCTTCGCACTCTGAGCTCCCCGGAGAGCTAACTGAGAAGCTCGAAAGGCTGTCTGCGCTGCACGGAGACTCGGCCTCCTCACACATACTTTCAGTTTGCGGAATTTCACCCGAGAGCAACACCGGTGACATTTCAGCCAAAGAAATCTCACTCTGTCGAGAAGTTGGCCCACTGCAGTCTGTCTCACTTAGGTGGCCAGTGGTCAAACAAGCCTCAATCCCTTGTCCACAACATGGCGGACCCTATAAAAGAGTGTTTACAGCAACAAATAAAAAAAAGGCAATATACTGTCTCACATCAAATAGCATTGGGCATATCATCAACACCAATGCGAGCAGTATCAGGCACTATATTTTGCAAAAGACCTTCAGAGCGCAACACATGTGCTGGTGCAGCAAACTGTCCTTCGGAAGCCATTTGGCACCATGGTCGCTGACAGGCTGAAGCCACACGGGAAGCTGCGCCCCTCTTCCTCCTCCACCTCCACCTCCACCTCCACCTCCACCTCCACCTCCACCTCCACCCACCCACCCACCCACCCACCCCCTTCACTTCCCCCCCCCCGCCCGCCCCCCCCGCCCGCCCCCCGCCCGCCCCGCCCCCCCCCCCCCCCCCCCCCCCCCCGGCAGCAAAAACTTTCTAGCCTTGATAGCACAAGCATGAATGCGTAACCGAAGCACACTTGTGCTTTGGCGCTTCGGAGGTAACGAGCGTCTACAGGAGGTAGAGCTTCTGCAGCACTCTACCCCACACCAACCAACCGTACATGAGACCCATTTCAGTGCTCAGGAGCAGACATACTCATATCTACAGGGTGAAACAAGGAGACGGCAGGCTCTTTAAATCGACCGGAAAATTCGGTTTCTTAACCTATCGCGCTACGACTTTGTGCAGCGTTGCCCACAGATGGTGCATTTTTTTTTTGTAAAATTTGCAAAGAGCGAACTTACCTGAGGAAAAAGTAAAGAAAGAAAAAGGCTTAGCTCCGACGGAAACTCAGCGACGCCACCGGTCTTCAAACAACACGGCGCCGTTTCGCACGGGACACAAGAGATGGCGCAACGAACGCCGTCAACGAACGAGCATGCGGCGCCGAGTGCCAGCGTCAGCAGACAATCTTTTCGACTCAAAAGCAACACTCGTTCCGCAGGCGGCGACAGTCGCAGAAACAAAAACAGACGCGGTAACAACGAGGAACTGCAGTTCCTTGTCTGCTAAATACGCCGGCTCTCGGCGTCGTCTGCTCGTTCGTTGGAGGCAGTTGGCGTCGCGACCGCTTGCGCCATCTCTTGTCTCCCGTGCGCAACGGCGCCGTGTTTGAAGACCGGTGGCTTCGCTGCGTTTCCATAGGAGCTAAGCCTTTTTCTTTCTTTACTTCTTCCTCAGGTAAGTTCGCTCTTTGCAAATTTTACAAAAAAAAATGCACCATCTGTGGGCAACGCTGCACAAAGTCGTAGCGCGATAGGTTAAGAAACCGAATTTTCCGGTCGATTTAAAGAGCCTGCCGTCTCCTTGTTTCACCCTGTAGATTAAACCAGCAGTCGAGCGGGAAGGCACGTGAAAATTATGTTTCATGCTCTGAAGAACGTGCTCTTGCAGGGCATCCTCCTTCCCCACAAGATGGACCCCATGAAACAGATGCTGTAAAACTATTGCTGCTCGCGAGCCACAATTTCACTAATTAGAAAAGATTTAGAACTTAGTTTAACCGTACACAAATAATCCAACCTTTAAAGGCCTGGATTTGGACCCCTGGAATAGCCTGCACCAACATAATTTGATCCTCTCTGGTGGTGGTGCATAGCCTTTACAGTACTAATTCTACAACCAAAAAACAAGCGTTACCAGCGGGCGGAAACGAGTCGGCGCAGCTTCCAGTGCATTAACGGCACGCTTTCACCACCAGCAAGAAGAGCAGCTTTGACGTCACGTGCAAGCCATGATGGTCCCAGCCGGATTTAAAAAATATAAAGGCCGCACAATAAAAACGTTTTACAGTATTTGACAAAAATTAAGAAAGCTTGAACATGAGAAAGAACGGCACGCACAGTATGAGTTTAGGTTATAGGGACATTATATGTTCGATCGAGTAGCACCACACGTCAATTTCGCGCTTTCTTAAATTTTTTGTCCGTATTCCAAAGATTTCAATCTAAGGCGCCCAAGACGTCTTCGATTTCCAAGACGTCGTCGTCGTCGTTCTTGACATCGTCAAGGCTTTTGAGGTCTTGGGCCGTGTGGGGTCTTACATGATAGAATTTTCTTTCAGATTTTCGTTGCAAGTTTTCCCATACAAGTGCAAGTTTTCCCCTATTTGTGTCCAAAAAGCAAGTTGCAAGTTTTGCCATATTTGTGTTCAAAAAGCGACGAAGCTCGCCCCGGGGCGTTCGCACGCGCACATCGAGCGCCGTCGGGCGAGCTTCATCGCCTATTCGTCAGATATTCGCTCACAAAGCCCAGCCCAGAAGCACTGCAGCAAAGCATAGGAGCCGGAGGTTGGAAGCAGTGGCTCGATACAGAGAAAGACGATAGCGAACGCACACGGTATTTAACAACGAAAGACCATGCATGAAGTAACGCTTGAAATGAACAAACTCACATCTCCACGATTGTGAGACTGCGCAGCTGACTTCTGCTCCAAAGGTCGCGGGGCGCCTTCAGCAAGAATCTGACAACAAAAAGATTTCGTCAATAAAATCTTACGGTTCACCGACTATAAAAGCCTACCTTTTCGGTCTGATGCCACCGAGCACGCGTCGACCGCGGCACGCTCTCTTCGGATAAAGGTGCCAGGTAACGTCGGTATTGCTTCGGCCGCTGCTTACTGGCCATAATGCCGTTTCATATGCAGAAGTTTCGGCAGAATCGGCGTAGCGCTTGTTTGACGAGCAATAATGGCGAAGAATGACGCGGGAAGAGCGGGAAGCGGGATTAGTAGCGGTACAGTGGCTGTAGTAGCGGGATTGGCGGGATGGCTACCCGGGGACCTGGGTACTTCGAAAACGTGAAACGCACGCCATCGCGCCATAAACCGCATTGTAAACAAAACCATCTTTACAGTCTATAGTGCTAATAACAACGTCCTGAACTAAATATAATTCTAAGTTGTAAAATGAAACTTAATTTTTTTTTATTAGAGTTATCCTTCTCTTCTGTATTTGCCATGGGTGTTAGGTGGCCGTCTCGCCATATGGCCAGCCGGAGTCGGCGCGCGGTTTCAGTTGGGCCGGTTGAGCCAGTTGAGCTGCTAGTTTTGGTTGCATCACCTGCTGCGTATGAGCTTTCAGTTGCTGAAAAGACCGCAGGACATCTATTCCTACAGGAAGAAAGGGTAAGATTTTATTGCAGTAAAATATAGTTCAACAGCAGTTTGCGCCGGCGCATGGTTGGATCGGCGAAACGAAACTGCGATTCAGGCAGCAGTTTGCGCCGGCGCATGGTTGGATCGGCGAAACGAAACTGCGTTGCACGCGTTTTTTTTTTTCTCTCACTTCTTTTTCGTCTTCTTCTTCTTCTTCTTTCATATTTATATATAAAGCGAAAAGAGTACGTTTTATCGAAGTGTGGTTTAGAGAAATGCGATGTGTGCACGGCGGGAACCTACACTTGCAAGCAAACCTTGCTACGCGCGCTCGCTGTCGCTCGAAGGAATGTTAATCTCAAGTTCGAGCACGCACCTACAAGGGTTCATCGCTGAGTACTCGGCAAGCTAGGCTGATGAATCAGAGAAACATCGGAAGCAGCATGCCGGGGGTTGCCATCTTCTCGAAACCGAGTTTCGACTTTCGAGGCAGCTCGAAGAAACTGTTTTCGCTAAAACTGCGTTCGTTAGAACGAGCTTCTCTAGACCGCACGCTGTCACGGTTGATTAAGGCGTATAATTAATATAAAAATATTAATCGGGAATTGGTGTAGTCTCGTCTTGCCTTGGTGCTTTGTTTGTGTAATAAATTACCTCGCTGATCAGCCACATTTTCTCCACCACATGCGGATGTGACGGTTGGAATTGTTTGAACATAATGCGATTACTTCACATTAAATTCGATTGTATTCTTTTCTTACAGAGATGAATTTCGCATATGTGCAATATTTTACTGGAACAGCACGACCTAAGACTATCATCAGTACATCTGCAATTAAAAACTTTGAACCGAGAAGTGAGGATGACTACAAGAAGGGTCACCTCTATGATGCTTTGTTGACTCCAGACGGAGGGGAGCCGGGCTGTTTTAAAGCCCAAATACTACTTTTGGCAGGTGATATATATCAATGCAGTTCCTCACAGCAGCACACCAGAGGAGACTTGCCCTATATGTTATTGTGTGTACCACTTTGCAGACTCAAAGTCGTCGATCGAGGAGAGGATCAAAAGGGGCAAGAGGATCCCTCTACCTAAAGTCCTTGACCAGGTTGTTGAGCACAGCAGTTCGGAAGACGACCAAGCAGCTCTTCGGGTCGAAATGGCAAGCATTTTGTTGCTGCTTATCCTTTTAGAACTATCATAGAACCCCTCCGGTGCCTTCACATAATATGTACAAATGAGCTGTGTTGCCACGAAAAATTATTTACACTATGAAATAAAAGACTAAATGTCACTACAAGTGGTAACTGAATAAAACAATAGCCTTAACAGGTAAATACAGATTAAAGTATGAAAATTGATACTTCACAAAAAAAACTGATTTTAGCTGGTTTCTGGTTGAAATTAAAATTATATTGTTTTTCCATTTAGTCTGTTCGGTTTTTTGGTACTGTAGTTCATTATTTATTCCCCCATATAGTTTTAAAGCACACCTTGGAAGATTACAAATTTTCTGTAATATTCAGAGAAATGAGGTTAAGTATGACTGATACATCTTGTCTAGTGTAAAACAATATATAACAATTTTTGTTCTTTTTCTCTATTAAGAAAAACGAAAAGGTAATAGGTATGTATGTGAATGTTGTCCTTATAATTATTGTGATTGGTTGACATTAGAACCGTTTATTAGACAGTGTTGCAATTGCACTTTTAAATGGAGCTATTATTAAAGCCTTGCCGAATTTGAACAATTTATAAAAGGCTACAAGTTTTTAGATATAAATTTTGCCTTTCATGGCTTGACTGAAAACCCGCAAGCCAGACCAAAACGACTATGTGAGCGCAACATAACGCGCTCCTTCCAGTATGCAGTTTTTTAACCAGGACACAAAAGGCGTAATTTCAGCTCTGAATATCTAAAAGCTTGTTGCCCTTTTGCAGATTGTTTCAATTCGATAGTACCCTAACAATGGTTTGCTTAACTACAATTGCAACATAGCCCCAAACAGTTAATTTACAGATTTTCGTTAATTAGTCAACATACTAGTGATGTTTCTCAAAGGCTTGATAAGCCGAGTGCAGTAATGCAGTGAGAATAGCACCCAGACAATCCGTCACCTGATTTTCTTTCTAAAATTTCATTTAAGAAACTGCATAATTGAGTTTTACACAAAAATTACTAATTTTCTATATAATTTGCTGTGATTGAAAACATAAATTGTATTTGAAGAAATCCTTATTGCAATTATATACTAAATTTTTCTTTGGCAGAGCAAAGAAATGTTGGTGTAAATTACAATTATTATTTTGACAAGAGTGTCCATGAAAATGTGACCGCCAATGAAATCAAAAGATGCTGGAGCTTTCCCTACATGGTGCTTGTAATAGTGCAGGCTCAGCAGAAATTGAATCGTACAAGAGAAGCAACAGCAAAGATGAAGCAAATAATTTCAGAAAAGTTGTCTCAGAAGCGCAAGAACCCACTTTTCCCAAAGGCTCGGAGTGCCAAGCATGCCAGGTACGAAAGCCACAGTGATACAGACAGTGGGGATGATGGTGCTGTTGTTCCCAAAAAGTTGTACGACGATCTCCATCAGAAGTATCTTGCCCTAAAAAAAAACTACAAGGGAACTTAAGGAAGACGTTGAAAAGATGCGGACAAGAGAGGCCAAAAACACAGACATTCTGGATGTGATCCTTGAGGGTGTAAACAGCATCAAATCAAAGCTCGAGAGCACTGGAGCAGGTGCGTATCTCTTTCCTTCTGAAGCATGAATTTTACAAAAAAAAAAAAAAAAAAGCCTAAGACAACCATGGTGATTTAAAATGTTTAACTTAGTTTTTTTTTTTCTTTTTTTTGCGCCGTCAAGGATGCTCAATAAATGCAAACACCAAGCATGATATCGTGAAGAAGGCTAAACTCAGAACTGACGGAAGAACGGTAAGCTGATGCAGCAAATTTTTTATAGCCTGTGGTTGCCGTTTTAGTTTTTTTAATATTTTGACAAAGTACTGGAAAGGACAAAATTATAAAGAAGCCACAAGCTAGATTTATATCTGCTCTTAAAATCTGCAATTAGAAAATGGCCGATCAATGTTTTAAGATTGTGGTCATGAAATAAAGCTGGCTTGAACTGTCGGTTAATTTGAAGTTTGTGTACTTGCTGTCATTTCCAACAGCTTCGTAGGATTACAAATGAAGCCTTTATTGTTTTTATTTATATCCATTGCTCTGCTTCATTTGCAGGTCTGTGTAAATGACAGTGTTACCCTTAGTTTGGACCAATGGGTCGCCTGTCAGCGACAAAAAAAGAGTCCAAGTTTGTGAGGAGTCTGGCTACTGCCATATGGGGACGCAATATTTTGAAAAATCGATCTACGAGTGGCAAGGTGTCTAACCGTTTGATAAATGATGGAGGTGCTGCGAAGCCACCACTGACTCCAACAAAACTTAATGTGCTAGAAGGTGAGTAGCTTGTAGTTTACGGCACTTTCCGTGTTTACTCCGTTTTATCACTAACTGATTACATTCAACAGGGCCGCCATATTTCTCATGACCTGACTACAAGGTGAAGAAGAAGCAACAGATTAATATAACCAACAAATGGAGATTTTGGAGATGTTACTAAAAAAAATACTACACGAAATAATGTGCAGCGTATCGAACCTTTTGAACATTTATTTTTACCTGTTTGGTATATTATATTTCACAGTAGTGCACTAGATTTTTTTCGGTAAAAGTTGCATGCATTTAACTAGGCATCTTTTAAATATGCAGGGCATTTTTTCTTCCATAATTTTTACATGGGTGGATAACCATCACCTGTATTGACTAACTAACCAAAACCTGTTAAAAAATGGTTTAATGGGCATGTTGCAATTGGTGGTTGACTGTGGAGCAACTACCGAGGATATGCTGTACAGATAGTGACGAGATGACTAAAACAACTGTCACTTTTCTATGGACCATTATCGGCAAAACTTCCCAGATTCTTTTTGGTGCGCAGTTCTTGAGTTAGGCAACGAAAAAGAAAATTTTAACAATGAACGTTTCAAAGCGACAAATTTTTACGAATTGTCGAAATTGGGTTAGCCTGTAATAATGGCTATTTTGGGGGGCCCCCATGAGGCCCGCCACCCCCCCCCCCCCCCCGAAATCTTACATTTTGTTGGGACCTCCTCTCCCCCCTCCCCCTCATGCATCAATTTGTCATGGGCGCCCCCCCCCCCCCCAAAACAAAATCCTGGCTACGTGCCTGATTGCAACATGCCTCATTAAACCACTAAATAAAAAGTTCATTGCCATATATTTGTAATTTGTCGACATATTCTGACAGTTATCCAGCCGTCTATGTCCGTCATGCCCACAAATATAAACTAAAGGATAGACGTATCTCATTTTTTTTATTTATATAAAAGATAAAAAGATATCTGCATACTGCAAGATTAAAATTACCCCACACTTAGGTTGTTTTAAATATTACAAATTTCTCTGTCAAAATTATGCAGAGTTTAATAGTTGCATTTTTTTTCCAGCATGCTATGAGGACTGGCTACGTGAACATGGCGCCAGTGGCGATGTGTTGGCTGAGCGGATGGCAGCAATGACCACACACATAAACAGCGCCGTACGTGACCTGGGCCGTGACGTGCGGCATGCGCTAGGTACTGACCAAGAATAACGGACCAAGTGTCTCTGGAACTATGCTTGTCAAGGACGACGCTTCCTATGTTTCCACATGTATTATTTCAGAAAAGTAAAATTTGTGTTTCAACACTGGAGTGTCTCTCACTTCGCCGCAAGGTAGGTTTGCTGTAGCTGTTTTTTAGTGTGCTTGCCGCATTAAAAGCAGCTACAGTAGACCTTTCCCGCGATATTTTCTGCCATTGAAATAATATTAAAAATTCAATGAGCATAACATACAAATCCCTTAAAATTTCACATTACTGCTGCTGGATTTTCACTTCTTCAGCTCATTGATGCTTATTCGTTTCTATCCTGCATTCTCATTCAAAACGATTGAATCCTCCTTACAAAGCACATAACCGCTCATGGCAGTCTGCCTATTTTGCTCATTCGGGCACATTCATTTTCGCACCGAAATACATATCCATTTTGTCTCATTTTCTATATTCAGCTTGTGGGTTTCTAGGGTAATTTCACATTCAAGTTTCATCGGGTTGCTCATTCATGCACATTGGTTTTGGTGCAAAAATGAATGAGATTTTAGCTCTTTTTTCCAGCAGGGCAGAGATCGAAACCACGCCCCTGCAACGGTGTCCAATAACCTAAACGTCGTCATCGACGGCCACGACGCATCAGCGCTCGTGGACACTGGAGCAGACTACTCAGTTTTGAGTGGGAGGCTCTTCCGCCGCCTTCGAAAAGTCACGACGCCGTGGGATGGACTTCAGATACGAACCGCCGGAGGGCACCTCATCACACCGGTCGGGAGATGCACTGCTCGCGTCGAGATCCACGGTGAGACGTGCCCTGTCAAGTTCGTCGTTCTGCAAGACTGTTCGAGGGACGTTATCCTCGGAATGGACTTTCTCTGCGAGTATGACGCCGTCATCGACCTCGGAGCAAACCGGCTGACGCTTCGAAAACCTGCTCCACCACAGGAGGACCCCAAAGTGACGTCATCCGCGGTACGAGTCCTCGCAAACCACGTGAACCTACCGCCGCTGTCAAGTGTTTTCGTACCCGTCAGGGTCGATAAAACTTTCTGCGGCGACGTTTTGCTCGAAGGAAGCCTCCAGTTGCTTCTAGGAAGAGGGATCGGCATCGCAAGAGGCGTCACGAAGCTCCAAGACGGACGCACTGTCGCACTCGTAACGAACTTCCGACAGGAGGCCCAGCACCTTAAGAGAGGCACCACCGTAGGCCACGCCGAGGAACTCCCGGACGCAGCCGCAATCGCCGGAATATCAGAAGACCTCTCTTCGTGGCCACCTAAGACAACGCCGCCTTCGCAGTTTGACATCGACCCAACCCTGCCTACCCCACAACGAAGACAACTCAGTGACCTTCTCGCCGAGTTCAATGAGTGCTTCTCTACGTCGTCAAAGGTGCGCCAAACGACCGTTGCGAAACATCGAATTGTCACTGAAGACAACGCGCTTCCTGTTCATCGGTCACCGTACCGTGTTTCCGTGAAA